GGGAGAGGTTTGGGGTCTGGGGGGAGAGACTTGAGTCTCGAGTGGGAGATTTGGGGGTGACGTGGGGCTTGGAGGGGGGCAGAATTAGGGACCTGGAGAGGGAGAATTGGATCCCCAGGGAAGAGCATTGGATTCTGCAGGGGGAGAGATTTGGGCTCTGAGGGGGAGAGATTTGAGTCTCGAGTGGCCGATTTCGGCCCCCCTCCAAGCCCCACGTCACCCCCAAATCTCCCACTCGAGACTCAAGTCTCTCCCCCCAGACCCCAAACCTCTCCCCGGGCAGACCCAACGCTCCCTCTCCATGCCCCCGATTCCGCCCCCCTCCCCACTCCCCCCAAGTACCCAATTCCCCCCCACGCCCCAAATCTCCCACTCGGGACTCAAAATCCCTCCCAGGACCTAAATCTCCCCCCCCTCACCCCCCGCAAGACCCTTCCCCCCGCCGCCAAACCTCTCCCCTCACTCCAAATCCTCCCCTTCCCCCCCGTGTCCCTCCCTCCCGTGCCTTTTCCCTCCTCCCCCGCCGCGCTGCATCCCGCGGGCGGTGCGGGGAGCGATGGGCGGCGGGGCTCGGGAGCTGTGCGGGTACCTGGCGGCGCTGGGCGGGTGGGTGTCGGCGCTGGCGGCCGCGGTGCTGCCGCAGTGGCGGCAGAGCTCGTACGCCGGGGACGCCATCATCACGGCCGTGGGGCTCCACGAGGGGCTGTGGATGAGCTGCGCCGCCCAGAGCACCGGGCAGGTCCAGTGCCGCCTGCACGACTCGCTGCTCTCCCTCGACGGTGGGTACCGCGCTTCCTCTCCTGGCTACAACCCCCCCTCCCCTTCCCTCCCCCTCCTCCCCCGAGCTCCCCTGGGATTCTGAGCACCTTGAGCTCCCCTGGGATCTTGAGCTGCCCTTGCCCCCCCGCTCCAGCAGGTCGAGCCCCTGGTGTGGGTTTGACAGCCCCCATACGGCTCTCAGCCTCTCTCTGTGTTTGAACCCACCTACAGGGGTTTGAAACCCCACGCCCGCAGCAGGTCTGTGTCCTCTGGGTGTCTGGAAGCCACCCCGCCCTTGCAGTTCTGAGCCCTGCTGTGGTTTTGACAGCCCCTCTGTAGCTTTAAGCCCCTCTGCGTGTTTGAACCCACCTAAACGGGTTTGAATCCACCTATATGGGTTTGAGCCCCTGCCCCGTATGGCTCTAAGCCCCCTCTGTGTATTTGAAACCATCTATATGGGTTTGAAACCCCACACCTGCAACAGGTCTGTCCCCCTCGTTGCCTGGTGCCCCCCCCCCCGCAGGTCTGAGTCTTGCTGTGGTTTTGACAGCCCCCATATGGCTCCAAGCCCCTCTCAGTGTTTGAACCCACCTATGTGGGTTTGTATCCTCTCAATGTCTGGGTACCCCCTTCTCCCTCCATGGGTCTGAGCTCCCCCTGGCCCCTCCAGAGTCTTCTGGAGATCCAAACCCTTCTTGCCCTCCTCACCTCATCCTATTAGAGGTGTGAGCCCCTCTAATATGCCTCTGACCCCCCCTTAGAAGGGTCTGAACCCACTTCACCCATCCACTGAGCCTCGATGTGGGCCCAGGTTTCCCCCCTCCATCTGTGAATCTGAGCTCCCTGAGCCTCTCTTGGCCCTGTGGTTTCGAGCCCCTCTGTGAGGCTGGGATGCCCCCTGACCCTGCTGGGTTTGAGCTCCAGGGGGGCCATCACATTTGGGGACCAACAGTGCCCCATGGGGACACCACAACCTCCCCCCACCCCACACCCCCAGGCTGTGGATCACCCTTGTGGTATTTGGGGACTGTGGTGCTGCTCAGGGCAAGGTGTTTCCCAGCCCAGACAATCACAGGGAGGATGAGTGTGGCAGGGGGAAAGGTCAGGGAAGGTGTTGGGGGTGGTGCCCTGAGCTGAGCTGAGGTCTCTGTACCTGCCAGGTGGGGAAAGAGGTGACATGGGAGTCACACAGTGAGGACAGGGTTAAGGACACATCCATCCCCAGCGTGGGACGAGGTGACCTTGCTTCCAGTGCCCTGCTGTGGCCAAAGCTACCTGCTGGGAGCAGCTTTTCTCCCCTCCCTTGCAGTTCACATCCAGACCTCCCGGGCTCTCATGGTCATTTCTCTCCTCCTGGGCTTCTTCGGCATCATCGTCAGCGTGGTGGGCATGAAATGCACTAAAGTTGGGGAGGAGGATCCTGTCACCAAAAGCCGCATAGCTGTTGCTGGGGGTGTCCTCTTCATCCTCTCTGGTAAGGCAGCTCCAGCCTTCGCACCTCACCGGTGCAGGAGTCCTCAAACACCTCTGAACGCTGTTTGCTGGAGTGTTCAGTGAAGGCTGCGTGTCACTGATGACCAGCATTTGATGTCTAGTGGGGGCTGGACTAGGTGACCTTTTTAAAGGTCCCTTCCAAGCCAAACCATCCTGTGATCCCATGGTTCTGTGCCCAGGTCTGTGCTCTCTGGCTGCCGTGTCCCTGTACGCAACACAGGTGACCTACGAGTTCTTCAGAGAGAGCGCCGTCCCCATCAACGCCAGGTAAGAGCCTGGCTCGGGGGGTGCTCTTCATCTGAATCCCATCTTATCCCTGCACTCCCCACTGGGCCTTCCCTCGTTGGTGCTGGCAAGGCTGATGTGCCACACGGGAGGGGCCTCTGCACCCCTCGCTGCCACCTTGCAGAAGATGCCCCCGAGGCTAAAGCTTTAGTTGTTACAAGCTGGGACAGGCTAATGATGCACATGGGGACTTTCAGCCCAAGGGAGGGTTAGAGGATAGGGAAATGTAGGAGCTGGATCCAGCCAACGTGAAAGTTGGGGACGGAGAGGGAAGAACCAAAATCTGCCTCGGCGTTGCCGGTCGCCTCCATCAGGGCTCCAAGCTTCCTATTGCCCGTCTCAATTTGCACCTCTGCCTCTGTGCCCCCTCCCTGATGCTCCTCCACCCCTTTCTCCACAGGTACGAGTTTGGCTCTGCTCTCTTCGTTGGCTGGGGGGCCGCCGGCCTCTCCATGCTGGGGGGGTCCCTCCTGTGCTGCTCCTGCCCTGCCAAGGAGCGCCGAGGGCAGCAGTACCAGCAGCAGTACCACCGGCAGTCACAGCCCTCCACCTCCCGGGAGTATGTCTGAGCCCTCACCCTGCCCTCCCACCGCCTGGAGCCTCCCTCCCCTCCCAAAAACAGGCAAGACCCCGGTGCTCCCACCACACCTGGTCCCCTGAACGCTCCACGAGACCTTCCTCCTCCTCCTCATCTTCCAGTTTTCGGCGCCGTTTGCGGTGCCAGCCTCTAAAATAGAGGTTTTGAGGGGCACAGCTCCCACATCCATCACTGCCACGGGCCCCTCAGGTGGGCAGGGTGGCACCCCAGGTCCCCTGGGGTTGCTGGGCCGTGTCCACCCATCACAGGGATGCTGCAGGGGCGATGGGGGGAGGCTGATGCCAGTGCCACGGGGGCACAAAGCCCATCCCACGGGGACGTGCTGCACAGAAGCACTTTGTGCCATGACCACCCCTCTCCCACATCCTGTTTTCGGGAGCAAGTGGGGAGCGAAGCCAGTGCTTGGTTTTCCTGAGGTGAGGTTTTCACCTCCAACAGCCCCAGCCCGACTCAGGGCTCCAGCATTCCCATGCCCTGCTTTTGGCAGAGGGATGCTCCCAGTGCGCAGCGTTCCTCCGCCTCATTGCTACCTGAACCCAACGGTTTTAAAAATTATTATTAATTATTACTAATTCCTGCCTGGAGGCCAGTTGCTCCAGCTGAGCTCTGCCAGACAAAAAACTGCCCTGGGCTCGTTCCTTCCTAGGACCAGCCTGTGCCTTGTTAAACAGAAGAATAAATGGGTTTGGGCAAATTAAAGCAGCGAAAAAAGGGGGCTCTGAGCACAAAGGAGGGTTTGTTTTTATTTTTGGTGCCCAACTCAACTATTTCGAGTGGCAGATGGACAGAGCCCCAAATTTTGGTGCCTCCCTGCTGGGTCCAAATCCCCCTTCCCGAACAGGACCCCCTGGAGCAGGCGGTGAAGGCTCCAAACCCAACCTGCTAATTGCCTCCTGGTACCTCCACACCACTGCTGCTAATTGCTCTGCAACTGCCAAAGCTCCAATTCGTCTGTAAATCCCCCAAAACCCCCCATGCCCCATCCCTCCAGCCCTACTGCATTTGTGGCACCAGCCAACCCACAGGGAAAGCCACTGGAAATAATCCAAACCGCTTGCTTATCTATTTTTTATTATTTTATTTTTTAACCCAAATTAGATGAAATTGCTGATTTTTTAAAAATTTTCTTTTGCTCTATTTCGTTTTATTTTCCTCAATCTTCTTTTATTTTGCTCTATTTTATTTTATTTTACACTATATTCTTTTATTTTACTCTATTTTATTTTCTCTTCCTCTGTTTTATTTTCCTGTATTTTATTTTACTCTATTTTTCTCCATTATGTTTTCTTTCCTTCCATTTTATTTCCTTTCCCTCTGTTGACCTACTCTGGATCCCAGGCTGTGCTGGAGGAGAAGCAATGCTATTTTTCTTTCCCTCCCCCCTGCACTACCTGCCTCTTTCTCTTTTAAATTGCAAAAATTAAAACTGTGTCCTGCACCCCTCAGGGAGAAAGCAGTGCTTGTAGGTTGACTTCACCCATCAGGTGCTGAACCCAAATTTTGGGGTTCCCCTCCAAGATCGCCAACCAAAAGGTTTGAGAAGGAACCTCGTGCTTTAAAACCCACCAAAAATCAACTAAAAAGGCCTTTTTATATCGCAGTGTTGTGTAAAGAATGTTTTTATTCTTTTAATATAAAATTCCATTAATTTTTCTACGGGATGCGGGATGGGTGGGGATTTTTAAATGCCTTTTTTTTTTTTCCTGTTTGTACTAAAAATTGTATTAAAATATTTTCAATCATGGGTATCTTTTTGGAATTGTCTCTTTTATCCCCCCTGACTCCCCATCTGGACCAGTCACCCCCAGTGACTCCAGTGCTGGGTCAGAGCCACTTCTGCAGCAGGAGCCTCTGCCCCATCCTAAATAGTTCTTGCCCTCCTGGCTGAATACCTCGACTCTTTTGCCACATATTTCTCTTTGAAGGAGGGGACATGGCCTTAAAAATTGCTTAATTTAAGGTTAAACCCCTTGGAATTGTCCCTCTACAGGACTCTTCCCAAGGCTGAAATGCCGCCACCATTTTCCCCTTATGGACCCTCAGAGCTGAACTCTGCCTGTTTTCTCCCGTTTTCCACGAATTCAGAGCTGATTTGTGCCTAATTGGGCACTTTGCTAATTTAAGCCGATTTTTGCTCCCCTGTGTGGGGGCACGACCTCCTGCCCTGTCGTGCTGGGCATGTTTTTCCTCAGGGATAACACTTTCCATCCCGGTTTTTGCAGGGCTGCTGTCTCACCTCAGCATCCTTGTCCTGCCTGCCACACCTGGTCCACAAATACATGCCATTCCCACCTCAAAAACTGGGATTTACCATCCTTGGTGACATCTCCAAGGGTCTCCTGAGGGCTCCCTGGGGCTGGAAGAACAACAAGGAGGAGGATCTGCCTCTGTTTACAGGCTAAAACAGTTTCCCCCCTTCCAACACACATCTTTTGCTCAATAAAACCAGTTTAATGAGCAATATTTCTGGTCATACCTCTTGCCTTCAGCTAAACCCCTGCAGGGAAATAATAGTAATTTTTAAACAGGTAGAAACAAGGGAAAAGGGGAAATTACCCCCCAAAAAATACACACAGGGTTTTTTTTCTTACACCTCTGGGACATGGCTGTTTGAATTTGGTTGTGGTTTTATTAATTGTATTCATTGTCCTGCCCCAACAGCATCTACTGAGTTCTCTCCAGCTCTCTGAGATGCTCCCATCAAAGAAAACATCTTAATTTCTTTTTTTTCCTCTCCAGCCATAGCAGGCTTTTTAACAGAGTGTGTGCTAAAACATCAAGATTTGGGTCTTGTCAGCACCACTTTTGTAACACAGGGGTTTGACAAACCTTGTGGGATCCGAGATCTGCTTTTCACCTTCATTAATTAACCAGGGAAAGGAGCTTAATTACTCGACTACTGGTGGCTCTGCCCCTCCACCTGCATCTTTTAACCCTCCAAAAGGTTTCAGTTGGGGATTGACAAGGCAGATTAGTTTGATGTATCATAAAATGACTGTTTAGATGAGCAGAAAATACAAATAAACTTATTTTATAGGTGGCAAAGGCCATGGAGCTACAGTTTTGTATCACTTGGGGTCACACCAAAATTTCAGGTGTCCTGGATGTCCAAGGACCATAAATTCCTGAGCTGTAAAGGTTGGAAAATGAAGGTTTGCAAACCTTTCTGGATGTTTTCAGCACTAATTCACTGCTAACATGCCAAAGCATTGGACCTGCCACATGCCAAAATCCTGGGAAAACAGGATAACTCAAAATAAAGCCCGAGCAATTGTACACATCAGGCACCTGGGGGTCTCTGCAGGGCTAAAGCCCAAGACTGGGGCATTGCCAAAATCCCCACAGCAAAATGCTGTAGAGGATTATCTAGAGGGGGAAAAAAACAACACAAAAAAAGCCCAAAACCAACCAACCAGAAAAACCTACCAACCCAACAAAAAATCCACTCTAAAAAAAACCCAAGTGCTTCTCAGCCATAATCCCCAAAATGTAAATATGGCTGTTTTGGGTCTGGGAGATGAGGGTGCAGCTGAGCCCAGGGATGCTCTGAGGATGCTGCAACAGGGATCCTGCGCAAGAAAACGAGAGCAAAAGGGATTTTTTTCCCCCAAATAGTAGAGGATCAGGGAATAAACACGAAGTTTTTAGGGCAGCTCCAAGTGCCAGGCAGCTGGGGTGCTGCTCCCCAGGGTCACAGGCACCTCCTGGGGGGCTGTCCAGACGTGGTACCTGAGCCATCACCACTGCAGTGGTTGTCACTTGTTTTCTAATTAATGGGGGGGGGAAAGAAGGGTCTTAATTATCAACCAAAAGAGTTAATTATCATGCTGGCATTCCAGATTCTTTCCTTAGCCCCTTCCATCCCTCTGACTCTCTTGCACCACTCCTGGGTCTTAGGCCACTCTAGTGTCTTAGGCCACTCACCCCTAGGCAGTAACTAAAAGGTTTAATTAAAGAATGGGGGATATTTGCCCAGGACACAGAGTGCCCCACCTGGAGAGAGTTCCCAGCAGGTTCCCAGAGGTTTCCCCACGTGACATTTTTGTGGACACTCCATTCCCAGCCTATGAGTGCTCTGACTGCAGGGATGCCCATCATGTCTCAGAGCACAAAGCCCAGCTGACGTGCCTTGGACAGACCTTAAATAGCCCAGCACAGGCTCTGGCCAGCACTGCCTACTCCTGACTCCATCAGATGGGTCAAGATCAAATCCCATTGGCACTTAAAAGCCTTCCAGACCCACATCCCCATCCCAAATCATCGGTGGCAAAGAGATTCTGTCATCACCCCACTGCAGCTACGATGAGCCTGTGGTGAAGGTAATGCTCCCCCATGAGCCCCTTTTATTGTCAGCTGGGTTTAGGGCTGTTTTCTCCCAGCATTAAGAATTTCTTTCTTTTCCTTTTTTTTCTTCTCTTGCTCATATAACTCAAGTGGCTGAACAGATTTTCTTCAAAGGCTGCAAAACAATCAGGGTCTAGCGGAAACAAATAAGGTTATGGAGAGTTAGCTCAGGATGGAGCCTGGGGAATTAAAAAATTATTGTAAACTGGGGTCTAGGAGGCTGCCTGTGGTAAGATAACGCTCAGAGTGAAGCTGGTGGAAGTGCTCAGAGGTGATGGGGGAGTGATGTCTCTGCTCCCAGTGATATCCCAAGAGGGATGTGGGGGTAGATGTGGCACACTGGGCATGGGGACCGTGACCCTCCTCCCCAGTTCTGCCCCACAGGGAGCCAGGGCTGTGCCAGGGTGGGCAGCCTGTGGCTGGAGGTACCAAACCTGGTGATGACAAGGTTATCACCTCGTGTTAATTAACCCGTGGAGCTCAGAGACTCACCTGCTCTCGTTAATTAACACATCCATGTGAACCCCCATCAGAAAGGCTCTTGCAGTGGTTGCAACTTCAGGCACTAAAATATTTGGCGTTTTGGGTTGCAAAACATGGCAAGGTGGGATTCCTGCCCAGTCTTTGCTGACATGATGTCCACACCTTGGGCACAGCTCCCTTCTCTGCAGAGTCTCTTCATCTCTGGCTGGGATGGAAATCGAATGGTTCCATCCCTTCTGCTCTTTGGAAAGCCTTGGCAGCTCCTCATGTCGTGCCCTAGCAGCCCTTGTCCATCTCGGAATGGGAGATACTTCTTTGGGCTTGTGCTTGGGATTAGGACACCTCCATGGGACAGTCTCTTGTGCTCCAGCCTGGATGTTTCAACACCTCACGGCTTTTCTGGGAGAAAAAAAACAAATGCAAGAGAAGGCAGATGATGTCCCCAGCAAGTCACACGGCTGCAGGGATGGAGGCATCCGGAGAACCTCTGGATACCAGAAGACCCAAGCTCAGGTCACAGGTTTTGGCAGCAGCAGTTATTTAACAGTGGTTTCCAGCAGCTCTTGATTCCCAAAGGGCAACTACTGATGGTTGGCAGCTTCTATTTGGAAGAGAGGGAACTGATGTGGGAATATCTCCATTGTAAAATTACTGCGTCCCTGAAGGCTCTCTCTGTATATAAATTTGGCAGTCCAACCTTGGCTGAGGGTACTGGAGCATTTTGACAGCACTGAGCACCTTGAGACAGGGCCCAGATGGCTCTTAGGGATCCAGAGGACATCTGACAAAGTCAGTGGCACTTTGTCCTTGGTGGATCAGGTAGCTGGAAGCAGCCAGAGCAGAGGTGGTGGATGTCTCTGTGCCCTTGCAGGTGTCC